CCAATTTAAAATTTCAGAGTTAATTTGCACGAATTTAGTCTTCAAATTTACACTAAAAAAATGTTTAAAACAACAACTCATTTTGAAATTTGAACTATAAACAATTTAACAGATATTCTAATTAAATTAAAAATTTTCAGTGAGAAATAAAAAAATTAGTAACAAAAAGGTGAGGTATATAAAGGTAAAAATAAAATTTGAGAAATGCTTTTAACTGGAATTCATAAGTAATTGTTCTAACTAGATCGCATTAAGATAAGACTTTTTCAATTGTTGTAACAGAAAACTAAATAGGAAATCATCCGGCGTAAAAATAAAGTGAATCATTATAGATAGTGTTAATTGATATGTTTATGATATTTAATCTTATCAATGAAGTTTATGACATTTAATCTTATAAAATAAATTAATAAAGGCCCAGTGACTGAGTGGTAGCGCCTCGCGCTCTTATACCGTAGGTCTGGAGTTCAATTCACGGACCGGGCAATGTTGACTCAGCCTTTCATCCCTTCAATGGGTCGATAAAATCGGTACCAAGCGTGCTATGGGACTAAACGCAGGGGGTTCCGCATTTGGCTGACCACCCAACTGAAACATCTACTCCCACACCTCAGAGACTAAGGTCACGAAATTTGAATTAGGCACAGTAGTCCTTGGTCCTCCGTGGGCTGTTGCACCGTTGAGTTTAGTTTAGTTAGAAATTAAAATATTAGGTTGGTAAAAAAAATTTAATCCGTTATCAATTGTAGTTTGATGAAAGGTTTAAGGAGAATTTTTTAAACTTTACAGTCACGCAACAGGAACTCAAAACATATTTTAGTTTTATTACGAATCATTAATACAAATTTTAAAAAAAAGCATTAATAAAAATTTTAAAAAATATTTTAAAAAAATATTAGATTAGAATATATGTTAGTTAAAAACATTTATTAATAGATAAATTGTTAAGTCATTCTTTAGTACACAGTTTGTTGGAAAGAGGAGAAAAAATATGAAATTATTTTACGTTTTTAGATCCTTACCGAAAGACATTGAAAAAGTATCAATACTATCATAATATCGATATTTTTTTTGACAGTCTCGTTTGGTATCGATCGATATTTTCTTTGTAACTATCGAAAAACTTGCTGTTTGAAAAATTTGTATCGATCGTAAAACTCGTAATTTTTTTGATAATAACATAGTACAAATATGTTCCATTCATCTATATTATATATTTACATTTATTACTTCTCTTCACAAAAATCTGTGGAACTTGTGCAACACACAGTCCTCGGGTTAAAGAGAGTTCTAATAATTGTAAATATTGCAATTATTAGAAGTTATTGTTTTTATTGTTATTGTTATTATTAGAGTAAATTCAATCAATGTTAAAATATGTATCCTTATTTTTTTTTTTATCATGTTTAAAAATCTTTTTCAAAGATTTAAGTTCTAACTTAAATTATAGATTAAAAATTTTTCAAGATTGAAAAATTAAACTGGAAAAATTTATATGACTTTAATAATTGATTAAAAAAGTATGCAAATTAAAAAGTAAATCCAAGCAAAATTCAAAATATCTGTTTCCTTTTTTATTTATTTTTTCAGAAAACTGTTTCGTTATATTTTCCATTGCAATACATTAAATTAACGAGAATTAAAGTAGTAGGAAAAGGTTGTAAAGCCAATTAAAAACTATCAATTTTGAGGAATGTATATTTTCTGATTGAGCTGATATATTTGGAATGTTTTTACTTGTTTTGTTTGTTTTTATAACTAGTTTCATTTTAATAGCATATTTTTTAAAATTATTTAATAATATTATAGGGTATGTAGCTGTAAAAAAATTAAGAAGCAGATCAAGTTCAATTAAAAAACGTGCTTTTCAGGGATTTATTTGATTTAACTATTACTCACTAATTCACTGATGATTTATTGATTCGTTTGTAAACAGATACATCTACCCACTTTTTAACTAAATTTCTAGCTCATTAAAATTCTGTATTAATTAACTTATTGGAAGATTAAAAAATCTGCTTTTTTTAACTACATCCTTTTATTTCTGTAGTTTGTCGGTATATCAAGAATCATTCATAATTAGCATTTTGACATTAAAAAATTAATTTTTAAATATACATTTAAGATATGTAATGAAAATAAAACAGTTCTTAATTAATTAATTAAATTTTATATTAAATATAAATCATTACAATGAAAAGTAAATAATAGTTTCATTTGATTCATATAAATAAAAACAAAAAATGTTGGAGAAAATAGTTCTCACGATTACTATTAGCTGCGAAAAACTGCATAATTACTGAGTGGGCGATTCTTCAAACAGCGGGAAAATATTGAAAAAGAATGAAAAGTGAATTAAAACAGTCGGGAATATAAAAAAGAACCAGAAACGATTGTTGGACTGTAATATGATTGAATTTTGTGAAATTAAAGTTCAAACTTTTTCAATAATAGCCGATGAAATTGACTGGTTTTTAAGTTTTTTAAAGTTTAATGACCGTGTATATGAGTTTCGAAAATAAAATAGTTCTTTTATCGCACCGACCATCGAATTTGGTAATTTATTTCATTTTTATTTTAAATTAATGACAAGGACGGAATAAACTGATGTACGGAATACAATAGCGACTATTCATTATCTGTTTGAGGCGAGATGTTGTGTGAACTTTTTAAAAAAGGCGGTATTACTCACAGAATTTTGAAGAGGTCAATGTAATGGATTTCCTTGAAAGTTAATGAAAACTATAACAAATATCTTTTATAGACATAAAAAAAAGGAATTTGAAACTAGCTATATGTAAAATAAAGTTCATTGTTCGCGGTTATTTTATGTTGTTTTATAATTATAAGTCGCATTTTTAAATTGTAGTAGACAGTGTTTCTTGAGATTGTTTTTGGTGAAAGACGCGGCGATTTCCCTCCCAAAAAAAAGATTTTTTCATACATTTACCTGTTATTTAGTTGAAATTCCGCCATATTATAAACCAGGGGTTTCCAACTTACATGAGGCCGGGGTCACAATTAAAAACACAAATCAAATGGCGGGCCGCAACTTTATCAAAATTATTTGTAGGACTCTTTTATGTTTGAAGGAACATTAAATATTACTGTCATAGTTTTACCAAGTTGTACAAAACAAAAGTATTGAATTACAAATTAAATTAAGAAGTAGACTTTTAAAATTATTTAATTGTTAATAATAATATTTTTAAAGATATTAAATAAATAATAAAAATTCGGAACTACAAAAACTTTAATGTGCACCTATGTATTAAACAATTAATGTGCAACAGATATCTAATTGTTAAGGTATTCAAACTTACATAACATAGTAGCACGCAAAATATTCTATGAGAAAATTGAGGTTTGTCTGTTGCAAACTACCAGAGAATAGATATTTACATTTTAAATTTAAAATTTACAAATGTGTGTGTAAATATTTTCGTTAAAAATGAGTGGTTTCAAAAAGTTAAATCGAAGAATTTCTTCGAGAAATTTTTTGATGGGCACATGCTAATTATAATCCCAAAATACAAAAAAAAAAAAAAAAAAAAAAAAAAAAAAAAAAAAAAAAAAAAAAAANAACCATATAGATTTTTTACGAAAATTGTCCGCAAAAAAATGACAACTAATATATTTTAGTTCGTGGGCCACAAAAAAAAGACTTCGCGGGCCGGATGCGGTCCCCGGGCAGCCAGTTGGAAACCCCTGTTATAAACTATCTACATAGAAACAATACCAAGGAAAGATTCGACAATAACTTTTAATAATTTTCCATTTCTCTTGTTTTTAAGTTTAGTGTAGTTGATAACATTAATTCATCCTCCAATTCAGTACTCGAATTCTGACTTATCCAAACAGTGAAAAAAAAATTCTTTTTCTCCCATTACCCATCCGATTGAGACACGTTATTCAGGCATCAGTAGGGCAGATTTGTTGGCCACTCCATCAGGGGCTCAATATTAGGTAGGCTAACGTTGTTCCTACAGTAAGGACAGATAGTATAGAGAACGAAAGAACGGGATTCGAAACCAGGACCTTTCTGAAGTGAAGTCAGCTTTCTGACCACTACATACTCCTGATGGCACAACAATAAGCTAAATTCAAGTTTTTTAAGAGATATTTAGTTTGAACTATTACTTAATTTGACAATGGCAGTTGCTTATAAATCAGGTATACTAAAACACAATTGAATATCAATATAATTAAAATATTATTTTCACATTCAATAAACTAAATCATATAAGTTGAAATTTGGTGTCGATACTATGAAGTATAGAGGAGCATCGATACTTTGTCTCGATAGAATCGATGGTATTGATTCTTTACTTTTAATACTTTTACTATGCCGAGTATCGATACTTTCCTTTGATACTTAAAATCTGCATTTTATTATCTATATCATATCAGATCGCCGGGATAGCCCGGTCGGTAGGGCGCTGGGTCCACGTCCGAGAGTTCGTGGGTTCGAACCCAGCCGGCCGTAGACTCCCCGTGTAGTAAAGTGACTGATGCGCGTTAAATCTGTCGAGTCGCAAAAGTCCTCCATGTTCCCTTTACAAATCAATACCTCTGGGGGTACTGGATTCGAGATAGATTGTTCTCTGATTCAGGTCAAAATTACGATCTGTGGATGAATGAATGGATGTATGAATGGATCCGCCCTATAAACGGGTGCGACATATGGTGTGGCAGAAGTCGAATTCTTGGCAATAGATGGCGCCACTGAGAAACAAGAAACGCACACTCTGCCTTAAATTTGCTCGGTTTCAGCAAGCAGGCTTGCCCGTGTGGCAAGTTGCATTAGAAACAACAACAACAACATATCAAATCAGATATGTTATCCTAAAAGTGAAGCGTCACTCAGTCATTTTTTGGATAGAAATTGTAAGATTTCAATTCAATGTAATGCTCCCCAACCTAATAATAAAATAATTCAGCATTCATGAATATTGAATATCAGTAGCAATATTAAATAAAATTTCTTTTTTTTATTTTAGATTCTATTTTGCACTCTGAATACACATAAAGTGGACATGTCAAAACTGCTTGGTGGACAAATAGGTTTAGATGATTTCATATTTGTACATCGTAAGGGACAAGCAAAAGAAGTGGAAATTACCAAAAATGAAGATGCACTAGGACTAACAATAACAGATAATGGAGCTGGATATGCTTTTATTAAAAGAGTCAAAGAGGGTAGTTTAATACACCAACTTGGATTTATTCAGGTATAGTCTTCTTTTTCAAATTTTAATTTTACGCGACTTTGAGAATGTTAAACTATATTAGTTATTTGAGCAAAAAAGGCTATGTCAGTATAGGCTGGTAAAAAATTGTACAGGTTTCAAATATATTTGTATTTTTAAATAAAGAAAAAATACTGTCGAAAGCACTTAGGATTATTGATTGAAAAACAAAGCGACAGCATTTAGCTTCGCAAAAGACTTACAAACAGCAAAAAATATTTCTGCATTTTCAAATCATGAACAAAAAAAATTGATAGCTTTAAATATTATAAACTCATTATTTAATTATAATAGTATAAACTTATTATTAAAATTTAAAAACTTAAAGTGTATTTGAAAGTTTTAACTAACCACCGAATGATTATTATAAGCAGTTAGGATAAAAACAAAGTGATGGTGTTTAAATTGACATCCAAGTTGACTTTCGAAAACCAGACAATATCACATATTTAACTCATACACTACATTTTTAAATAAAAATGATGATAAAAATTTATCAGATATAATCTACAAAAGCAATTTTTTGTTGTTTTTATTTTTAGCACTTAAAATACTTCAAGAGAACAATAGTTTTGGTAAATAGTATGTACCTTTCTTCTTAAAATATTTGAAACTTTCAATTTAAAGAAAATATATATATTTTATGATCTTAATAAAATGTCGATTATACATAAATATACAAAATTATAAACATTATTTAAATCAATGGAAGTAGAAATCGCGAATTGCATTAAAGTTATAAAAACGAACACAATCTTCTATGTTAATCATAAAACATTAAAATTTCGCGTTCAAAATTTAAATGGAACCAGTTACCATTTTAAATTTGCAAAAATTTAAATAAATTGAATATATTGAACTGAAATATTAAGCGTGAAACATTTAATTAGAAGCATCCCTTTTAATTTGCAACACAACGGAATTAAAATACAAAATAAAATAAATCCCCCAACCCAAATACATGTAGTTCGTGAAATAAATGATGTCGTATTTTTCTTGTTTATCTATAAAACAAATAAAACTCCCTATTTTATGTCATCTGTATTAAAAACCATCAATTTCTCAGAAAGATAAAAACTTTTCTTTCACAAGATTTTTAATGGCGCAATAATTTTTTATCACTCGAAAATAAACTAGTTTTATGAATTGAGTTATTCAGCTCAGTAAGAAAAGTGGGCATAAAATTTAATAAAGATTTTGCGTCCGAATTTAAACTAATGTAGAAGTGTTTATTATTATTTATTATCTTAAATGTGCAAAATTCAAAATTTTAAACAAGTAAAAAAGTGAATGCATAAATTTGATCATTAAACTCTTCTTTTGAAGCATCAATCTTAATTTTTAGCTGCAAAATTAAATATAAACTAAACAAAACTAGAACACATGCAAAATAAAATATTCCCGCTACAGCCTGTTGTGGGCCAGGGGAATCATGAATGTTAAGGCGATTTTGTGACCAACGGCTATTCTCCACCAACAGAAACAAATGTGGTTAGTGCAATAAATGAATTGGTATATTTCAATTTTTATCTTTAAAATCCCTATTTTATACTTTTGTAAAAAAAAAATAAATAAATAAAAACTATCATTTTCTTATGGAAATAAAAAAGTTTCTTTCATAGAACTATTTTTAATAACTTTTTGATTTTTTATTGATCAGAAATATTTAAATAAATTTTGCGAATTTTTTTTCTCAGCAGTTAGATAATTTTGCATCAATTTGCCTAATAANTTAAGTAAAAAAAAAAAAAAAAAAAAAAAAAGCTATCATTTTCTTATGGAAATAAAAAATTTTCCTTCACAGAACTATTTTTAATAACTTTCTGATTTTTTGTTGATCAGAAATATTTAAATAAATTTTGCGAAATTTTTTTTCTCAGCAGTTAGATAATTTTGCATCAATTTGCCTAATAAAAAAAATCATTAAAAATTTGTGCCAGGAGTTTATTAAATTAAAATAGAATCATTTATTATATTAAATCATTTATTTAATTAAAATAGAATCACTTATTAATGTATAAATTTGAAAATAAAGCACTGTATTTGAAGCATCAGTTTTAATTTGCAACTACGCAATTAATTTCAAAATAATTTTTCTTTTCGCATCCCAAACACATGCAATAAATGATGTCGCATATTTTAGTTTCTTATCTATAAAATAAATAAAATTTCAGATAATAAGTCATCTATATTAAAAATCCTCAATTTCTCAAAGCAATAAAAACTTTTTTCACAATATTTTCTTCAATGGCGTTCTTATCACTATAAAATATTTAAATTAGTTTTGTAAATTCACTGACACTAGAAAAATTTGCGGAATTTTCATAATACTTTATTATACGACAATAGTAAAAATTAAATTGCTTTGAAATATATTAACTCTGTAACGTAAGCTCTCGAAAAATACCAATTGTTTTTTCGCTGGAATGCATACAAATCGACTAATCATACGATACTAAAGATGCGCTTCAGCACTTAACGCTTCGTTGCGGAATATTTTTCTAATACTTTACCTGGTGACACGATGGATTAGAATTCCAGAATATAAATGATTTATTCCGCTGAAGATAATGGTTATTTTAATCTATAACGATCATGATTAATGTAAAGAAAGCTCTCAATTGACCTAAAGAATAAAGATAGCTTTCACTTAACTAAAATACATTTGAAATTAAAGATTTAAAAGCAAAATGTCTTCATTATGGGTTTGATATTGTTTTACAATCATAATTGATTCGACAAATAATAATTATTTTAAAAAAATATTTTAAATCTATATTCTATGTGAGAATGAAACATTGGTGCAGAATCGATTCTCAAATGAAGAAACTTCTAGGTACGTCTCCGTATTTATTCTCGTTTCGCAAATAAGTGATTAAATTCTTCAGAAATCTCGGATTACGGATTCAATATGGGAAAAACACTTATGCNAAGGTACCCCGACATAGAGTCGAGTTAACATGTGTTATATACTAGTGAATTGTAGTTGTAATTTTGTAGTGGTAGATACGCTACAACTTCTAGGTACGTCTCCGTATTTATTCTCGTTTCGCAAATAAGTGATTAAATCCTTCGGAAATCGGATTACGGATTCAATATGGGAAAAACACTTATGCAACAACCAATTTTAAAATTTTCACAAGAAATTTTTTGAAAGTCGGAAAAAAAAAGTCTAGAATTTATTGAAAATTGTCCGCCATAAGCCTTCGGTTTATTTCGAACATATTCGTGCTTTGTTGTTGATGATGGCTCAGATTCTCACTTTTTCACATCAAACTATTGCGACGTTCGAAGAAAATTGCAGAAAAATTAATTGTTAAAGCGTGTTTTTATATGATTCCGTAACGTAATTAATCCTAATTAATAAATTACCTCATTTTTTATGCTTTCCTCTAACCCTGAGGATTTCATGCGTGAAAATCTGTTTATTATAGGATACGTAAGCGTTTTCGGAATCCTTAAAAAGTACTTGATTTATAAAACTGTTTTCAAAATCCTTAAAAAGTTAAGAACTTATTTTCAATTGTTCATTTTCTAAGGGGTTCCATGTTCTTAAAATGTTCAATTTTGGTTCTACACTCTTAAATAAATCGGATCAACGTTGAACCATAATATCGGTATCTTAGAACCATAATACCGACTTTCTGCATTGCATTGTGAAAATGAACCATGTTTCAATTTAGCTTGAAACATAGCATCGAGTAATCATGTTTTAGAAGGGTTAATTTGCACTATAATATGGCCCAGCGAAACCAAAAATTTCCAAAAGTTATTCTGTACTAATCAAAAAGTTTTAATAACGTCAAGCCTAAAAGTTTTAAAAAGTTAATAAAAACTTCTTTTTTCCCTTTCTCTCTCTTTGCTGCATCTTCCAGCGCTTTAATCTTTCTTTCGTTTTTTATATTTCAGGTTGGAGATCATATTGAAAAAATAAACGGTGTTTCGATGGTTGGTTGTCGACATTTTGAAGTGGCCAAACAATTAAAAGATATCTCCAAAGGAGCTAATTTTACACTTCGATTAATTGAACCATTGAGAGCAGGATTCTGTAAGTAATTCGCTCGCTATTACTGCCTTTGTTTATTCAAGCAAAGTAAGAACTACTCAATATGAGTGCATTATGAAAAACTTTTTTCCGAAATACAAATTTTAATTCGAAAAAAGCTCTCGCTGTGTTTTTTTAATTGAAAACTATTTAGGTCATACGACATGGACCTGAAATTTCAAATTTCGTAAATTAAAATTTTTTTTTACTGATTTGAAAGTCAATGGAAGCAAGGAAAAGTTAATCTCCCGATTTTGGGGGTAAGAACCTAAGTTATACGTTTGCTATAATCTGCTAAATAAGAAGTGGTAATGTAATAAATATTTCTCAATTTTAAATCAGAGTGTCTCTTATTTACGAAACGAACTTTATGAACTAGTACACAAAAATTAGTTTTCAAGTTCGAAGATGTAAAATTTAGAATGTAAAGAAGCAGTAACAAAATTGTATTTAAAAAAATTAAATTTAACAGTTAGGTCTCCTAGAACCTACATGAAAACCTTAATCTAACTAAGAATCTACATGAAACCTAATTGAGTTTAAAACTGTAAATATGTGAATTAGTTATTAAAAGTTATAGTCTTCATGTAGATTCTAGGAGGCCCAATTTTAACATTTCATGTATAATTATTTTACTGTTACTAAATGTCTGAAGCTTCACACTTTTGAATTTAAAGCAAAAATTTGTATTATATTTATTTTTAAAAATTAAAAATCCACAATATTTTTCAATTTGACTAAAAAATGCTTAGTAAAAACATGAACAGTGAAAACTTTTTATCAGCAGTTTGAATTTCGAAAAAAAAAAGGCTTTTGTGATTTTCTTCTATACAAAATGGCTTTAGTTTTCACGGTTAAAACGAATACATTTTAATCAACAAAATAGCACTTTTACTTTAGAATATTTTAACTTAAATATTCCAAAATAAAGATGAATTAAAATTTTAAACAATATTAAAATATTGGATTTTGTATTACTACTAAGTACATTTCTTTTTTGTGTATAAAAATAGCTCATATCGGACCAAGAAGTGGAACAGTGTCTGGAGGAAGCAACAAAAAGGGAGGGTTTGGAACAGGCAAAGAAACATTACGACTTCGAGCTAAAGGTCCAGCAACTATTGAAAAAGCAGTGAGTAAAAATATTTTCGTTTATATGTGAACAAATCACTAAAAATTGACAATGTCTAAGAAAATGTGGAAGAAGGCTACATTGATGTTTCTTAACGTGAAAGTTGAAAATTTGTATAATTAAATAAGCTTTAAAGTTACCTCTTTTTTTTCTATTTAAAACGTAGAGTATTATTCCACTACAAATTTAAGAATGAAAACACTAGTTTTGAAAAAAATGTATTTAAAGTACTTACCCATGCAGCATTCCCAAAATGAAATTCATCTGGCTGTTGAGTCGGAACAGAATTTTTTTTTTTTGCAGAAGTTGTAGTCAAAAAAATTTATGGAATCTGTCTACTTATTTAAAAGTTAAGTACGGTAGGTTAAAGGTTTTTTTTTTCTTTTCGATTTATGAAATTTATCTAGTATTTTATAGTGTTATCCAGTATACTTTTACACACACAATTATAAATTTTTGAAATTTATTAACTATTTATAATTAGATGAGTTAAAATATTAATCAAATGAATGAAAATTATTTAGATTATAACTAGATTATTTAGATTATCACAAACTTAATTTTTCACAATTGAACATTAATAAGCCCATAGTTGGTTGAACAATGAATTATTAATAAGTTATATTTTGATTCATAAATTCAAAAAATAAATTTATTTAGCTAAGTTGAAAAGTTAATTAATAAGATATGCATATATCTTAATGTATCATTCTCAGTAGTTGTACTATATGTCGATTTCATGAATACTCACTAAGAAATCTCTTTGTAATAAGATGTTAATATGTGTGTGAGTGTGCATTTAAGATATTGATATTTAGCTCTTTTCCTATAATGATTCTGTGCAATTTCAATATTTTATTTCTTAAAAAAAAACATAAAAAAAGTAGTAATGATTTTGTATAAAAATATAAGATGTGACATTTATGATATGACTTTTTCAAAGCCTAAAATTTTATATAATAATTTTTCAGAGTATTTATTGGATTTGTTTTCTTGACAGTAATGTAATGATTATACACTATTCTAATAATGATTGTCTGCAACATTAGGTGCTTTTACAGTTTCATATGTTAAACTGTTAAATTTATTATTTAGCCCAATGATGTCGTACAAGCTGCAGTTGAAAAAATCAACAGTCTCTTAGAATCCTTTATGGGAATCAATGATTCTGAACTTGGTAAACTTTTTGCCTTTCATTTATTAATTTACAATTGTAACAGACAACGTAGATTAAAAATTAATATTAAATGTACAAAAAATATGCTAGATCTATTTCCTATAAATAACATTCAGATAATTTGCTTACTTCAAAAATAAATAAATTTATATTGCATTTCTCAGTACACTATGAGAAATATATAAGCTTTTCCTTTAAATCATACACAATAGATTTTCACTCTAAAAATATTGATCATGAATATTAAAAAACATCAGTAATTACAATATATATCAATACAAAATTTTTTCTGTATGATTTAAAAGAATAAAAACACAATTATTTAAAATACAAAATTATAGTCAAATCGATCAAACAGTTTCTGAATTTAAAAGTTTAGCAACAAACTAGAACAAAGTTCAGATTTTTAAATATGTATTTCTCAAGAACTATTAGAACTTGGTCATTATTTTTAAAAAACGCACGCAAATTTTAAAATGATATAAAATTTACCATATCTTAGAATTCATAATTTCTTGAACATTACTAAATAAAATAATAAATTATTATTAAAAATTATTTTTGCACGTATTTATACTTATCTTTAGAAAACACTAGTTTTATAAATGTGTACAAAATTTCTTCGATTCACTTAAAATCTTCTAAGACAAGAAAAAATAGGTAAAAGTGAAATTAACATAAGATGCTTAATCGAATTCATATCTGCTAGATCATGACTACCCCCATATTTAAAAAAAATCAAGCATCCAAATCTTTTGAAAAAAAAAAGGAATGTTTATTCTGAAAAATACATTTTTGTGTCTGGTTTCAAAACTCAAATAATAGTTTATACTATCACCTTTAATATATACTATTATCAGAATCCTTCTAAAAACGAAGTTTAAAAAGTGTACACATAGTATTCCCAAATAAATAATGAAGTGAGAAATAAATAAAAGGTTTTGAAAATTTGGTAAATCATTATTGAAGGCAAGATTAAAAACAGCATAACCAGTTTAATTACCTGATGAATACTTCTGCTTATCACTTTTCGAATTATCTCTATTTCCATTGGCAATCAAACAGGTTTTGATGTGTTTAATAGTTATGTTAAACAATAAATTATATTAAACAAAAATTATTATAAAAAATACTTAAGTTCATGTTTTTTAAATTTACTTATATTCTTTGCAGCTACTCAAATTTGGGATCTTGGTCGTGAGAAAGGTAATCCTCATGAATTTGTTACTGCAATAGACAGCTCAGATTTGGAAGCATTTGGATTTACAGATGATTTTGTGTTTGATCTTTGGGGAGCCATAAGTGATGCAAAATCTGGAAGGCTGAAAAGTGACTCCCTTCGGACATCTATGTAATGCTATGTTGCACTGAGTTAGAACTATACAAATTTAAAAAACTCAATGCAAAAACTAAAGTTTTATGAAAATTGACTGTTAAAGTGATAATGATATATGCTGCCATTATTGAATTGTATTTATATAGAAAACCTCTTGACATGAAAATTTTATAAGTTTTATGTAATTCTTTAGTGTATATAAAAATATTACAAAAACCTTTAAAGTACTGCATACTGTTTCTCACTTTTTTGAATATTGACTATTATAGAGAAAAGTATATCTAAATTTCTCACAAATTTGCTCCACAAAAGTTTAATTATCCTACACTGTGCCTTGCTGAAATAAGTAGAATTAAAAATATAACTATACAGTTTATTAAATTTTAAAAAAATTTCTTGTGACTATAAGTACATGTGAATGTCTGTATTAGTTAGAACTGTATTTAAGTACAGTTACAGAATAAATAAATATCTTTCATACAAGTTTCATATTGCCTATTGATAGAATTAAAATAAAGTTCAAAACCATGAATAATTTATGTATCGTAGTATTAAAACGAAAATTTGAAATTAAACATAATTAACGAAAACTATCAATTATGTCATTGCAACAAAAAAAGTAAGACATTCAAAGAAAATGATCTAACATAATGCGTAACTAATTGTTGCAAATGGATCTTTTTAAAAGGAGATTACGATTTCTAATTTGTACAAAGTAAGCTAATAGTTTGTACTTAAACTAGTATAAATAATGATATTTGTAAAAAGAATAGTAAACTAAGAAACAAAACTGTATTAAATAATGCAATTTAATGTTACATAGTTTTTTTCTTCTTCAAAAAAAGGATAACAGAAAGTACAGAACAATGTAAGAGCTTATTCATAACCATTCAAAATATTACAAAGAATACATCATTTATGTGAACATCGTTATAACTCAATTTACTATAGTATAAGTCAATTTAATGTACATCTCATCAAACAACTACAAAAGTTGCATTGAAAATGTAAAATAAAAAAATACAATTAATTTAACTTTATAAATAATTAATTCAGTTTACTAAATTATCACCATGAAGATTGCAAAAAGCAAAATAAAGTAATATAATTTATGCAGGTAAGTAAATCCAAATGACACTATAATAAAATATTAAATAACACTATGAGTCATGTCACACATATTTTTTCAAAAAAAAAAAATTTTTCAATGGATGAATAAAATTTTTTCTTTTCTTTTAGAACTGTTTTTGCTGATTGAACAATTTAAATGCAATTGTAATAACAAGCTGTAAAACAATGCTCCTTACACACAATAGTGTAATTACTATAAAATTTTAAAGCATTAATATTACTATGGTTTGTTTTCATAGAATAACAAAAATTAATAAGTGCTAAATTATAAATTTAGAGAAAAATGTATTTAAAATCTTCTCAAAATATATTTAGTGTAAATACCAGTAGCTGCAATAAACTAATCAGTTTTTATGGCAGTCTTTCAAATTTTACTTCATTGTATTGGTGTTGAAACTTACATCTTTCTGAGTGAAAAGTAAATTTTTTTTTTATAAAAATGGCACTTTGATAACCGGAAAATTTATTTTTAACATTTTCATTGGCACAACTCAAAGGGCTAAAAGTAAATTGCAGTTCTATAAATATAACTGAAATAAAAATTCTAAAAGATAACATAATTCAAAAAAATCACAGAGACAATCGCCATAGATTTTCAATTTCTTCACAACTTTGATTTGAACAGAAAAACATTTACACAGAAATACTACCATCTCTAAAATTTGTTTTGCCAATCAATACATTTATTAAAACACTTTGACCCTTTTCAGTCAGTTGCAAAGCAGTCTTAATTGTATCTTTTATTGTGCTTTTATTTTCACCTGATAACAAGAATCCTTTGGCACCAAATGGTTCAACCACTTTATGATAGTCTGTGTACTAAAAGGAAAAAAGATAAAATATGGCAGAAAACTCTTTAACTATCTAACTATAACACAAAATAAAAAAGTGGAGACAAAACGAGAAAATTACTTGACAAAATTTAAATAAAGTATTAACAAATTATAAGAATTTCAAATGATAAAGCTCATAGAATCACTCCATATTTATGTGCTAGCATATATTGACCGGAGAAAGTTACTTAAACGCAAAAATTACTTATATTTCTAAAATTTTATTTCATTTATCTGTACACATTTTTTTTCATTTCATATTTCTATGAAATAATTGTAAATTTAATAAAATTCAACAAATAAGGAAAAACTTTTTAATATCAACAATTTAGCATGCTTAAGAGTAACTGCATCTAAAGTAATTTGATTCATTTTTAAAAAAAACTGTTACTTACTGATAAATTGCATGCTACATCACTTTTAAAACGAGGCACTTGTTCCCTAGCTATTTGAGTCCAGCAAGCATCATTTCCAACTATTGCTGCAATAGGTAACTATAACAAATAAAAGTCTCAATTATTAAATATTTTCTTCCAAGCATACTAAAAGAACATTACAAGTTTTATAAAATAAATCAAATAATTGTAATTTTGGTTGTGAGTCCTCAACAAGTTGCAAGGTGGGTGTTACAACTCATTGTAACATGCTTTAAAAGCCTCAATTATGTCACATAAGCACTGAGCTATACATGTGGATTAAGGCTGCATGAAGACAGAAGAGTGCCCACCCATTCGGAGGATATATCACATCAGCGAGGGGTTAAAGATCAGCAGTAAATAAATTGCATTAGCAGACCTCTCCTTTTGATTCCTAGTGTGGCAATGCAAAAAAAAAAAAAAAAAATATGAAGAATGTGGTTTTTTTGGCAGTCTGTTTTTGTCCCCAGGCTGATGATTCCAGCCTTACTGTATGTTGATGAAGATGGTGCAATATTTTAGAGTTTTTGACAAAACAAGGATCGCTTTCGATCCATTTGCAATTTTTCTCCCTACTTCTTTTACAGAAGTTTGTTTCATCTGGCTTCACCATGTTATTAATTTTGACCTATTTTAAATTATTTTTTGAAGGATTTCTTCCCTTTGATATTTGAGCAGCTCAATAAATGTTGTGAATTATTTTTTGTGTTTCAGTCTCCTTCTATATCATCTTATTTAATAAATTTTTTCAACTATATTTAAAAATAATTATTATTCTAGAGAATTCGATATTCGCATTGTACTATACGATTTAAGTGTTAGTAATCTTTCATACGCACGTGTAATGGTAATATAATTTATTAAAAGTGTTCTAAGTTTTCAGTAAACAGTGTCATCTAAATTTGTAGTAATTAATTTTTTTTGCCACCATGTGCAGTAGTGTTTTTGTAGTTACTGGTCTAATATTAGGGTACCATGTGTAGGGTGTTATTAAGTTTACTATATTAAATTTAGCCATGAGAGTTATTAGTGGGTAACAATAGAACTTCATATTTTAGTTATTCTATACATTTTTAATTCATATTAAATTATCTGTGTTTAGTGTCTTAACATAAGAAGTGTCAGTAATTAGAAAATTTTATTGTCTGGCTAGTATATTTTATGATAAAATGGAATATTTTTAGTACAAATTAATATAGTTTTATTCTTGTTATTAAATAATTTGAAAACATTTATCAAAACCAGATTGATTATATTGAAGGATTTATGCCCCAATGGGTGGGGGACTATATAACTTTAATGTGAGCAACTGGCAAAGAAATTTGTTCAAATATTAACTTAAGATTTTTTTATTTAAAAAAAAGGCATAAAACTCATTTTTTGATTAATGAGACATCAAAATGAAACTTTTTAAGTTCTAAGTAAACTTAAGTAAACTTTTTATTAAACATTAATTTAAAAATGATAGTTAAGGAGCAAAATGAAAACCAATAAGACTAAAATGTGTCCTTATTACAATAAGGCAGCTAGATAAATCTGTAAAATTGTTTGAAAAGGGTTATTCAATATGATGAACTTAAAAAAGTAAAATAAAATTTGAGACACTGCACATTAAACTTTGCCAAACTAACATAATAAAAATTTGATACAATTATGAAAAACAAGTTAATTAAAAAAATCTTAAAAACTTGAAAATAGTTCATGATTCTAGACATAAAGACAGTAAGTTTTATGCTAAATTGAAAGTTTGGGACTTAAAACTTCTTAGCTTTTGATATGAACCTAATGATGTTTAGAGACAAGATAGTGAACTAATTTTGTAACAAAATGAGTGTATAAGTTTTGTAAACTGTATGATTTTTTTTTTGTATTAATGCAAAAATAAATGTTGAAAGGCAATTATTCTTTGAAAGATTTGTATATTTTGTTCATCAAAACTTTTTAATACTACACACAATTAATTAAAGAAAACATGCTTAAAATAGGCCACTATTACTTTTCAAAAATATAAGCATTTTCATCAGATGTTTATTTACATCCTTTTAATGAAATATATTATAATGTGTGCAATGGAAATTTTTTTTAATAAGAGTTGGTGTTTCTATTTTCAAGAAATGCTAATTCTAAAAAGTGGGCTTCACAGTTTTTGATTTGAAGTTTACTAAATTTACATGATAACTGAAAAAAAGACACTCAATTTAGTTAGTTTTAAGTATAAAAAAGAAGAGAAGAGCAACATGTGTTATAGGAGAGCACAAAAGAGGCATTTTAAAATATTCTTATACATTTATTTATTTATACTTTTGGACTTGACATGCTTAAATAAACATTAATTCCGTTCTTTTTTCAGCTTATATTTGTTTATAAAATGTTTTAAAAAAGTTTCTTTTAAAAACAAAATTCTAACTTTAAGATTGTTTTATAAGTTAATATAAAAAGATTCCTAAAATAAGTTACAGAAGTTTTTAACAAAATTTTCTCTAAATTATCATTTTTAGTAAGAAGGACGATTAAAAGGAATGATTTAAAATAATTTGTACCTTGTGACGAGCAAAGGTATCATATTCAACAATACTGTATCCACAAGAACCATCACCATAAAGAATGACAACATTTGAATCAGGGTTACATGCTTTAGCTCCTAAAGCAAAGCCAGCACCTACTCCTAAAGTCCCAAATGCACCAGGATCAAGCCATTTCAAAGGACCACGAGGTCTATATTTCAAAATATAAAAAAACGAAAATAAGATTTTAAAAAATTGTTCACATTCATTTTTCTTGTTTCTGCTGAAAGTCAAAATTTTTTTTAAAAAAAACTTCAAAGCACAGTTGTTGATTTTTAAAGGATAACAGTGGCTTTTAATTTTAAAAATTCAGCCATAACAACTTCCTTTTCTAGTGATACCATTATAGGAGTATTAACTAATTTAAAAAATAATATAATAACAAACTAAATAAGAAAATTAATATTGTTTAAAGATTTCATTTATGTTTTAAAGCACTTGAATCATAAATAATTTCCTTTTGTTGAGTGCTTAACTTTTTAATAGGAATTTTACATCAACTACAGAAAAAAGTTCAATACATATATTTTCGTATAAATCATGATCATAACTAATAATTAATCAATATAATTTTAACGAAAAGATCAAAACAGGTACCAGACAACCTTAATATGTATGAAGCCGTAGCAACAAAATCTCCTCCATCAGCAACAAGGATTGTATTATCAGGCAAAACCTCTTCCAGCTGGTTTATAAGATAAATAGGATCCAGATATTTAGAGTCAGATTGAACTATTTTTTCCCTGTAATAATAGGAAAATGATTTGGAAAACAGTCCTAATGATACAATTTGAAACAATATTAAAGAAAATTAGCTAAAAATATAGAAAGATATATAGTGAGACTAATTTTTTCATTTTAAAAGTTATATTTGCAAAACTATGTGTTTTAAACATTTGCTAAATTTATGCCACAGATGGTATGCAACTGTTATTATTTAAGTGCCTAAAACCTGAGCCGCTTTTAAAGATCTATGTTGATAACAAAATTTTACCAGTCTATTAAATTTCTTAAGAATAGGAGATTGTTTTTAGCCCAATGCTTAGATTTAATTTTAAAAAAAATCAAAAGTATGTGGCTTGAGACATTTAAAGAGATGATTACTATCTCATTATAGATTGCAAACAAATTTTTATTCCAGAAAAAAAATATATAGGGGAAAGGGGGCTAGTGTGGAAAAGGGGCTAGTGTGAAAAAGGGGCTAATGTGAGCAGCTAAATATTTCTTTTACTTATTAATCAAAACTTTGTTAAATTTCCACTGTAGCAAAACTGTTAAGGCTTTCATATGCAGTTGCATAACAATACACTTGATTATCAAGCAGCAAAAAAAAAATTAAGAACTATTATTAAACTATCAGAAAACAAGGTACTCTTGGAAGAAAAGTAAATTCTTAATTTGATTTTAAATTGTCAATTAACACTATTTTAAAACACTTTTTAATTATTGGAGCTATGATACTCTTTGTGAACAAGCTAATAACATACTAAAATATTAACTTTTGATATGCCTCTTTTTTCATTAAACTGATTAAGCTTAAATAACATCATGGTGTGGATGGATGGTTGTGGAGCTACTATGGATGGCCATGTCAATATTAAACTCTCTGTTATAACAATATAAACAGTATTGGAAAAAAAACATACTCATTCTGCCTTTCAGTAGCTTCATCTCTTTCTCGGAGTTTAGAAATCCAAGAATTTTGAGCTGATCCCCAAGAATATTTAGATGCAAGTTTTATTAAAAATTCAGGAGCACTACCTTGAATTGCTATATCAGGATTCCAAAACACACCAGAATTCTAAAATATTTTAAAAATTTGCATGAATTTCATAAACACTTTTTATTTAATTTTTATTGCAAAATTTAATTATAACTTCTATTTGAATAAGCATTAAATACAATGAAGTAATTTCTACAAAGGAAAGGTTAGCAGAATTTCTTTAATGAATAAAAAAATAATTCCAAGTAAAAAAAAAAAGAATACCTTCTTTAATTGCTGAGCATCTCTATTTACAGAAATAATTTTTGATTTAGAACTAAGGACTCTTCCATATGATAGTCGGAAATCACAGACAGTACCTACAAAAAAATAAACAATACTTTTCAGTAACTTAACACACATACTAACTATATTATGTTTAACATGAATGTTAACTTGATAATAACATTTCAGAAAAAAAATTAGAAAATAAGCCTTCTAAAATGTCAATAGATTTTCTATAGTTATGTTTAAAATTTAGTTCCAACTAAGGGAATGAATCAATAAATATTGAATTATGTTTTATTAGTGCATATTATTAAACCAAAGTTGAAACTTCTCAAGCAGATTTTAACAGCTCTATTACTTTAAAAGAAATAAAGACAGTCCAATTCAGTAAAGAAATGACATATTGTTTACAAAAACTTTAAAAAAAAAATCAAGTATTAACAAATATTATAAAATAATCTTGTTTCTTCTGTTACATTAGCACTAGTGTGAGATTCATTCTATCCTATTTTGTATATGATTAATATATAAATGGCTTAAAACGATTTTTAAATTAGTTAGTCATAAATCTGAATATTTTAAGACAATTTACTGAAAATAATTTTGATATTAATTGCAAAACATCAATTTTCAGTAGAGCATGGCTTTTTATGAAAAAAAAAAACTTAAGTACAAAACTTTTAATAGAAGAATTTTGCCATATATATTTCACAAAATTTTTGCAACAGTTTGATAATCTTAATATTTTGAAGCAAAATTTCATAGTTTATTTTATATTTATTATAATTCAGAATTCTCCTGCTTCAAGAGAAACATTAGTTACAAAACTATTATAGAATTATACTCGAATTTAGAAACGCTAATTGTTAATAAGATCGCAGTTCAGAAGTAGTGCCAAAGTTTATTTTGGTCCTATGTTCACAATCTTGAACTTAAAAGTACCAAAACATTTTTTCAAAAAGAAAAATGACAGATTTTTTAAAAAATTAATTTATATTATGTAACAATTTTTGATTCTTTAGTTAATGTTTAAAATAAGAAAAGTAAAAACGAGAAGTACAATTTTTACCGTAAATGATAACAAAATATAATGATTTGCATACACTTTACAACTTCTTTCACAGTCATGTTACTTAAAAAACTTATACTGTTTGCTTTATATGATAATTTACAAAACAAGTTTAACTTTTGTAGGACATTTTGTTGCATTGAAAAAGAGATAATAAATATTTAAATGCTAATTCTTACTATTAAAAATGCATTTTACGATTGAAAATGTATATTCGTCATTAAAATGTAATATCATATAAAATGTATAACTCACACCATTTATTATTAAAAATGTGTTGTAAAAATGCTTAACTTATAATCTACAAGATGACATAAGATAAGTGATGCACAAATATACATACAATATCATAAATGTGTCTAAAGTTTTTATATAATTAAATTTTGACACTCAAAGAGCACACCTGCTAAAATTACTAAATCTGCTTCTTTTAGAGCTTCTCTTCTTTTCTGTCTCATATGTAGATTTCCTTTATGTCCAAGTAAGCCACGAGACATTCCACCAAGAAAGCATGGGATATTCAGGTGCTTCGAAAAAAAAAATTTATGTGACATGTAATCAATGTATTAGATAAAACTTTCAAAATTGCACTGATTTTACTCAATTAAATGCAATAGAGTTATAACATGGAGAATATCACAATGTTTGTGATTTATAAAAACTTTTCAGTAAAATAAAAAGCTAAGTTCATCTCGTTTGATTCTTTATTTTAGAAATGCATTGCTTTAAAATTAATTCTGTTGTTACATTTTATCATTTTCAATACCAGATCAATATTTCAATAACAATCAAAACTAAGTCTTCTCATTATTCATCTAATTAAATTATTACATACATCAAAATCCAAGAAAGTAAAAATGAAATTTATATATATTACAGCTTAAATCATAATCATTTTATAGATGTAGAATAGTTTCTATAAAAAGTGTTGTATATAAATATTTCAAAAAATATATGATGCTATTTTTTTTTGTAACTGTGTACTGTTATTTTTGTACTGAATCTGTACAATTGTGATAAAGATAGAGGGTCATTTAAGCAGAAACTAGATGTGTTTAAAATAAAAGTGGTTTCCTTTTTGGGGCTTCTTTAAGCAGTTTGACACATTTATCATATTTCATAAAGCTTCTGATGATTAAACTTAGTATATGTATGTATATTATATAAAAATCTGAATTATTAAATGATATTATATCATCCTCATATAGTTCCACTGGGAGAGATAATACAACAAGAAATTACCTAATAAAACTATTTTAGTTTAATCAATAGCATGAAAATTTATTTTAGATGTCATGCATCTCATAGTTTTTCATCCAGAGGCTGATAGTTTTACTTTCTAAATTCTTGTACACCCATTTTTTGAAAGTATTTCTCATTATTTGCAATATTGACTAACAGTAAATTTTCAGCATGAGCAAAAAACACATTTCACTCAATTTCTGTATTTACAATTTGAGGAAAATTGTCAATGATGTTTAAACAACTTAAAAATCCTGTTAATTACACTCAGTAAAATATTTTTTTTCTTCTAAAACATGCCTGGATGTATTATTTCAAAATGAATATAACTTTTTATTTCAGATTCTCAGAACATTATTTACAGCTTAGTACCACTCCATTTGTCGCAGTTAGTCATCAAAAATACGACATATCTGTTCATGATTACAGTGAACAGTTGATAGAAATTGCCCACTCATACAAATCAGATTATTATTATTTTACAAATACCGTTAACAGTGATAGCATATTTATAAGCAGTAACATAAAAAGTGAAGTATTAATTCATTTTAATGTAACTAACTTTTACCAAAATGAATCTATGTTATTGAATTAAGTTTTGATTTTAAAATTGCATATATAATAAACAATAATTAATTTTACAGTTCAGTAGTTCGATAGTTTAGGGATAGATGCTTTGATAAAGATTATATTTTTTTAGCACTATTGTCGCAGTTTCTTTAGCAAAATGTATAGGCTTGCCCTATAATTAAATTGGAAATTTGAATCTGCCTTTGAAACAGCATCATGAAGAAAAAATTTGTTTTTTGGTAGTTTTCTCTGAAGAAAAAATTTTCAAGGCCCAACTGTGAAACATTCAAAAACCTATCTATTCTTTAACTTAATGAACTACTAATGTTGGTCATTGTCAATAAACATTACTACTCTGATGTAAGTTACCAAAAAAGTATCAAATTAATATATTATACTACACAATTAACTGATATAATAAGAGGTAAACTAGATAACTGACATAATTAACTGATATAACACTACACAATTAACTATAATCAAAAAAATTTTTTAGAATAATGTTGGAAAAGCTGGATGAATTGAAGAAAAAAAAATTTCCAAGCAAAAGGAAACATATTTAGATATTACAACTGTTGAGCTGAAATCTTAAAGGCTGTTAGGTGATGCTAAATATGCACCTTACATAAAAATACTGGTTAACATAAAACGACAATAAATATTTCCTTACAGATATCATTTAAATTCTTTTGTATCTTAGTTTTAAAGATTTGTCTTAAATTATCTTAAATTTTCTTAATTATCTTAATCTTAAAATTATCTTAAATTTTCTATATATATATATATATACAGAGAAAAAATTTATTCATATCTTTTCATTGAGTAACGTTAGCAAAACATTTGTTCAAATAGCAAGAAAATTTACATTTCCTACCACAAACTAAGTTCAAGATTAAAAGCAAATATTTTTGTATTACATAAATAACATAATTAAAAATTATTTAAGCAACTTTTAAAAATTTAATCACAATGTATGCTTATACAACAACAGTTGAAAAAAATACTATAACTGTCTATGAACTACACTATGATAGAAATTGTACTTATTATAAAATGAAACTTACTTCTAAAGACTCTTTCAATGATGTAGACAAAGTTGGTGGAATCATTGCTTGACTTCCAAGTAAGATTAAAGGTCGTTCAGATTTTGCAATTAGTTCCATACATTTATTGACTATATAATAATTAAACAACATTTAACTGAAGTACTTATACTATAAAAATGGCAACAAATATTTATGCATTGGTAAATTAAAATATATTCTTTTTTTTTTCCTTCCATAATTTGACCCATGAGAAGAAGAATATTCGATATTACACAAAAGCAAGTTTTACAGATCATCATCAAAGCTTTCAAATATACTTTATTCGTAAACAATATGCAAAATACACAGCATAATAATAAAACAAAGTATTTTTACAAGAATATGTCAATGATTCATAGAAAAATATACCCTTTTCTACTAGACCAAGAGTATCTTTGTTGTTGCTTTTTGTGTTCTGAAAACTATTCAAACTCAATCTTAAACATGCATTTTTTATATTACCATTCTCAATAAAGTTTTGCGACAACTGACTAGAGCTTTTATTTCGAAGTTACTTTTTTTAAATTAATTTAAAGGTTATGTTCACAATATATATATTTTTTTATTTCTTACAAAAAATATATTTCATGCTATTTTAATCATTGTAATTCAATGGATCAAATGTATTGCTAGAACAAAGTGATCTAAAGAAACAAACATAAATATTTTTAATGGTTCCATAATGCTCATTTTGATCAGCTTTTTTCATTTTCTTCCTATGAATTACAATGAATGAATATAAATAAAGAAATAAACAGTTTTGCTTTACTTCACTAGAATTGAAGATGTAGATAGGTTAATAACCCCCTTTCACAAAACATTGTGCTCAATGTACTTTTTAGAATTTTACGGCATTCTTATACTTTCAGTATGAAAAAAAGGAGGATCTCTCTTTTGCTGGAGTTTAAGGTTAAAAAAATAAAATATAAAGCACAACTATATAGTTTAAAGACCAACCAACCATGTCTGGCTTTTTTGATTGTTTTATTTGAGCTTTTCACATTATTTTCCATTTTATTATACTAACCGTGTCTACGAGGAATTTTTTGGTTAAGTGATAAAAAATAAAAGTCAGCGAAATAAATATACATTAAAGAGTACATTGAAATATCCTCAAAGTCAATGAAAATGTATAAGATATCTTTATAAACAACATTTAGTTAGATTGTGTAATTTAGGATTACATTTTGGTGAACATAATAATATGAACGTAACATTTTGGTTATACTATGACAATTTTATAACTTAATCACCTTTATAAATTGCAAAATTATTAAATTGTGCTTGTTATTCAACTGTAAAAATATCAAGAAATGATTTATATGTAAGTTATATGGAATGGAAATTAAAGGAGAAAAAAATACAAATTATGATGGAAAAAGCTAAAATTAAATTGTACAAGTCCGTGATTCTCGAGCTGAAATGCAATCAACTCCTTACTTTAAAATATAGGTAATATTTTGCATGTGCAACTTAGTAGTACTGAACAACTATTTTCATTTAAATTGGTCTATAATTAAGTTTTACACCATACATTAATATGATGAGTAATAATTTTAATTTACAACAGAATTTTAAATTATTTAAACTAATCATAAATACTCTAACTTACTACAAAATTTATTACTTATACTTTAATAATATTTAAAAGCAATCTTACTAAAAATTACTATGTTTTGTAAAGTAAAAAAGGGCTTGAAAAATAAATTTTATATCAATAACATGTGTAAAATATGACTGGTACTTACTATCGTTATCAGATGCTTTAGGATAACTTACAGGTAGAGGAGAAGTATCTTGTTCGTCAAAAGCTCCAGCAAATTGATAACGTAGGTATGTTTTTAAAAACCTAAGAATGTACAATGAAAACTTTCAGAAAGATAATATTGACATTAAGATAATAAAATAATGATGGAAAAAGTTTTCTTAAAATAAACACAACATGCTCTAAAAAGTAACACATTTGATACAAAAAAAGTTTTAGAAAGATAATATTGACATTAAGATAATAAAATAATGATGGAAAAAGTTTTCTTAAAATAAACACAACATGCTCTCAAAAATAACATATTTGATACATCTAGAAAATTAACAACTGGAAAAAAGTCGCCATGGATAGGAGGCATTGGAGGCTACGCGTGGTTGAGGCAGCCAAGGCCTATAAGGGCTGTCGTGCTGAAGAAGAAGAAGAAAATATTTATTCAAAACTTCTGCTCAGAAAAAATTTATAATCAGCTGAGGTATTTATTAAAAAAAAGGTCATGATCTTTGATTACAAATTACCTCTTAAATTAAAAAAACAAACATTTTACTTATACAAATATAAATATGTAAAATACTAAAACTCATGTTCATTTATGGATATATAGTGGTTTATTACTTATAACTGATATGAAAATCCATTATTTTTATATTGATAATATTTAGGCATTATAGGATTTATATATATATATATATGAATATATAATATGTATATATGTGTATATATGTATATATAAAATTAAATATTGAGAAAATATGGAAAATAATACAGATTAATGACGAGAAGAAAAAAATTATTAAGCATTCGAGAAATGAATTAAAAGAGGTCAGTTCACACGATTATATCCTCAAAAAGGGCTGCTTTCTAATATNATATCTTTTTTATTGTATTGTCATTACTTATTTAAATCACGTGGGCCATCCAATTAATTCCATTTATTTTTATGTATTAAATAATATCAGCTCGTTTATAAATCTTGTACAGTTCAAAGTTAAATCTCCTTCTCCAGTTATTCTTTGCATTTACAAAACCAAGTATACTGTGCGAAATCTTTATCTAAAATATTGGGATACAATTTCCCTCTAGTTTTGTCATTGTCCAAGCTTCAGAAGCATATGTCAAGACTGGCCTGACAAGAGTTTTGTAAATTAAGAGCTTTGTTTTTCTAGAAAGAAACCTAGATTAAATAAATCTTCTCAGCCCATAGACAACCCTATTTGCCAAATAGACTCGATTTTCTATTTCAGGAGACATTCTGTTACCATTCAGGGATGAGAGTAGTCAGAGAGTAAAAAAGAGGAAATCCAAGTAGATATATAGATATATATATATATATAAAAATTCAATTAAATAACAAATGATATGATGTAAACTATCAAATTGGACACTCTCCAGACAAAACCAAATTCTTCAGATTTACAGAGTAAAATTAGAAAAGTTTTGGAAATCGTCATGATTTAAATCAATATAATTTAAAAAGTAATTTAAAAGTTTATAAATGTATCTATGTGCATTACAAATTAATATCTAATATAGAAAAAGAGAAGATTTACATTAAAATAGTTGATTTTTGAAACTAAAATTTATCATTGTTTCATATCTAAAATTTTTACATTAAACAAAAACATGATCTTTTAAAATGTTAAGAACTGACTTTGTTAAAATAGGACTAATGAAGAGAAAGATTAAAATGTGACTGGATAAATTTTATGAGATTGGTCACATGAAAGTGCCTAATAACATATTGAGATATAGCGATGATATAGTTGTGTGTAAATATAGTAATGTCATATTCAGAAAAATGAAGATGATTAACAAAACTGTCAATTGTTAAAATTTCCATAGAGTTCAGATTAAATTTCAATGATAATTTCAAGTTTTATTGTAGTATTTTCATATATCTTGAGAATTCCAGGTTTCTCCAGAGCTAGTGACCACACTGGCTATTTTCACAAAAATAATTTCTTTCCAAAATAAAGGTAGGACAAAATTTCAAACTCAATAATCATTAATTTAATATTAAAATCATTTACAAAAGTTGTTACACCATATTATATCAAGTATACCATAACTTAATTGAATGCCAGAATCATCCTTTATTATTATTACCTAGCTTTATTATTATTATTACCTACCTTTATTAATATTATAGCCTAACTTTATTATTTCTATATCTTTTAAATTAGCACTATATTGTATCTTTAAAAGATATAATAAACAAAAGACAAAAACTCTAAATTCATGTCACTTGTTCTAGACACATAATACATATAAAAAGGGAAAAGTAATACAAAAATTATTTTTTGGCTAAGCTTATGAGTACTCGCTCTTCCTAGAGGCAGTCTAAAATATACATGATCATTTTATAAATCAAAAACTGGAAGACTACTGCAATAAATGATGCCTGGAGAAAACTACCCAAGAAGGCCAAGGGCCACCTAGGGCTGCAAAGTCAATGAAGAAGGAGAATATCTTGAATATTATAAAAAAGACCTAAATCAATTCTGTGCACTAAACTAAAAATATGAAATAGATGCATCATAGATTGAAATAAATTAAAACTGATTCAGATACTTACATACTTGTGATGTTTTGAACAAATCCTTTAGGATTTTCTTTAATTTGCATTTCCTGCATAACAACTTTATACGGATAAAGAACATTTAAAGGAAGTTCTACAAATACTGGCCCTTAAAAAAAAATTTAGATAGATTTAAGGTATGACATATAATAATAAATATTGAAGTTTAGAAATTAAATTGATATTAATAGTATGTAGCTTTCTTTTTTTGGAATGGCTTGAATTGGATTATAATATATATTAATTTTAAATCAAATACAAACCAGATTTAAACAATTATCACATTTTTTTTTATTCATTGTTTTTAGAATACACACACTTTAAGGGAAAGGGAAATAACTTAAACAAAATACAACATAGCTTAGAAAAAGTTAAAATTTATATATTTAACTCTTTTATAGCATGGTTACTGTTTTATATTTTTCTTTTCATAGAACTATTAAAACATGAAATAATAAAATTTTAGATACAAATGTACTTAACTGTAAAGCAAAATCAGTAACAATATTTTGTTTAAGCAATCAATTCAAACAAATACCTAATTTAAAAAAATATTTAAGAATATAGGTCAGAAAAATAATTTAAAAAAAAACTCAATATACCTGGAGTATTGGATACAGCTTCTTTCATAGCTTCACGTAAAACAGGAACTATCTGCCTCAAAGAAGTTACAGATTTATGATATTTACAAATAGACTTCACTAAACTAATCTGGTCAATATCTTGTAAGGCACCACGACCCTATTTAATAAACCATATTTTTAAATGAAAACAGTAGTTGAGAATATAAAACATAAAATTTAATCTACCAACACACTCACTTTTAATAAAGTTGCTGCAGCTCCTCCTAGCAAAAGTAATGGTGTTTCAGCCATCTGGGCATTTTTTAGAGCAGTTATAGTATTTGTCACACCTAGAAAGGTTTATTATTTAGGAATGACACTGAAACTTCATTTGAAGACTTTTGTTCCAAAATCAGTTCAACACATTTTCAGGATTTAATAAGGAGAAACTAATAAAATATATTTGATCCAAACATTTGACTAAAAGAATAAAAGTTATTTTTACAATCAGAATCCATTAAAGTGGTTCAAGAACTGGAATAAAACTGAAACATTTTAGTTAAAAATCTAGATTCAACTGGTTTTAAAATGAAATGCCACAGTTATAAATTTCTTTAAAAAGATATAAAATATTATTTGCAATATTAAATACAATAAAGTAAAAAAAAACAATAAATAAAAACTAATTATTTGCAAGCATACCAGGCCCAGCAGTAACAGCAGCCACTCCCATTTTCCCCGAAAGGCGAGAAAATGCATCAGCAGCAAAAACACATGTAACCTGATATAAAAACAATAACTACTATGAGCTTTCAGAATTGGTAAAGCAACAACATTTAAAATATCTTTAATAAGATTTTCAAAATTATAGTCTATAATTCAGTGATGGCACACATAAAAGTTTAAAACTTGCATGAGCAAAAATATTTAGTTAATAAAATGTACTGGATAAAAAAATTTTGATACAGCAATTTTTAAATTCTTTTGTGAACCGTAAATTGTATTTAATTTGATTACAAGAGTTTTTTACTACACGCACTGATCAATGAATTTGAAACTTGAGATATTTTCTCTTGCCTTGTTTGCACTGTTCACGGGTCTGGGGGACTATCATGACGTCAAACATGTTATGTTGGTATGGTAGTGGTGCCATGGTATTTCTCAAGGTGAAACAAAAAGCCATGCAACACCTGGACACAATGGCAAATCAAGTTCGTCTCACAATGTTACATTTTTGCTGCAAAGGTGAAGGATACATCTTAATAATGCAATAATGCAACTGCACATCATGCCAGAAGTGTACAAAATTGGTTCAATGAACATCAATCTGACTTCCAACACCTTCCTTGGAAATCGCAACTATCCGGATCTTAATCTTAAAAAAAAGTTCGGAACATGTTGGAAAGGCTCATCCAACATCAATCTTGTCTTCAAACTAATTTGAATGATATTCTATAGAATTGATGTTCTTGTGAATATGGGCTGTTATCCTTGCGAAAGGAGAACCAAAAAACATCATTAATTCACTGGCCAGTGTGTGTAGTTTTAATGTATATGTATGATGACAATTTAATGAGATAAACTAAAACAATTAAAAGAGCTCTTTTAAACAAATTTAATAAAATTTTAATACTATTTAGAAGTAGATGAGAGCTATGGTGAACTTGGACCCATGATCAGAATTTCAGTTCAGGACTCTCTTTAAAAGAATGTACTATTTTTCCTTTTCGAAGTTAAAAGACCTCAATTAAAAATGTCAATATTTTTAAAGGTAAAAAAATCCGAAATGTAAGTAAAATCTATAAATTTTCTTAAATTATTACTTTTTTAACAATAAAGAGTTTGTACAATAAAGAGTTTTTAAATTGAAAATCTTGTATAAAATACTAATGGTATTTCTTGAAAGTATATAAGAACAGTGAATACTAATCACATTGTTCACATAAATATGTCATAAGCATGGAAAATGAAAGATTTCAGTTAATTATTATTGTAATTATTAATAAATCACAAAAATAATGTTTCTCAAAATGTAGCAAAATGCATCTCAAATATTAACTGATAAGTACAGAAAGAATGAAAAAATACTTTTCATATTTTTTATCACGAGTATTTAGTGCCCTATCAGAAAGGGAGCACAGCCCAGTCCCGTGCAATAATAAGACCCTGAATGCTGACGAATCAAGCCAAGCACACAAGCCAACTTAGCAGAAGCAGCAAATACTGCTGCTTTTAATGGGTCTATGAAAAAGTCAAGATGTTAAGATTGTACAAAGAATGTTTAAACTAATTATATATATATATATATAGTTAAACTATTGAATCAGTTCAAATAAGTTCCTAAATGTCTTTATACTTCAATACTTTCTCAAACACATTTTTTATATCTAACATACTTTTAAATCTTATTTCGTATTTGGTGAAGCCAAAAATTAAAAAATTAAATTCCCTAGGTCTTCAGCCTCCAGGAAAAATATTGCTGAAGTTTTTATGCTTTGCACTACTTTTCCTCTAAATTACATTAGGAAAACTGTTTCTTGGTGCAAGAAATCCATTAGTTTAAAGTTTTAAAAAGTTTAGGATAATGCTTAAAGTTTTAACATTTATCATTTAATTTTAATAAAATAAAATTTTAGAATATAAATAAAATTTAGAAATAAAATTTTTAGAGCTAGAAAATAATGTTATTAACCTCATGTCTTGTATCTATGACCTTAATCCCCAATTTCTCAGCAGCAATAAGGATAGGTGAGATATGTCCTCCAATCAAAGTAAAAATGTGTGAAACTCCATGGCTCTAAAACAAATAAAATATAAATTTAAAACAATAAATATTCCTAATGTTTCAGCACAATAAAATAAATATTTAAATTATTGTCAGTTTTACTAGGATACAAGGTGTTAGTGTAAAGTGTTAAATTAAAGAAAGGATTTTTGAAGGGAAAAAATTTTTAATTTATATCTCTAATTTTAATTTATAACTCTAATGCACTTTTTTTTTCTCAAATCAAATAAAAAGTTTTCAAGCAAGTCTGTTGAATTCATAACAATGCAAATGCATATAATTGACAAATTGTGACTTCGGCATCAATTGGTTAAGCAACAAATGAAACTTTTCCTGCAATAAAGTTAGATTCCATAGGAAAAACTGAAAGGCACATCTTAACCTCTCAGAAATTTTCTCGACTAATATAATCTATTAATACAGTTAATGAAAATAGCTGGTTGAATAATGAGGTACAATTTAAAGAACTAAAAATCTTAAATATATGATACAACAAAACAATTGAATGTCCCATGACTTTTAAAACAATGAATTTCTCCCATATATACTCCACAATATTGTCATAAAATTACAATTTGTATTTCTTAAATGAATTTGTTAAATACAGGTATCACAAAGTACAGTAACCCCTATCGTCATTGTAATGGGTAGACATGTAGGTGATTAGGTATTGATTTATAGATTTTATTTTATCTAATATTTATTAGAACTGAGCGGTAGTGCTTCGTGCTCCCATGCCACAGGTCCCCAGTTCGATCCTTGGGCCGGGCAAGGTTGATTCAGCCTTTCATCCCTTCAGTGGGTTGATAAATGAATACCAAGCATGCTTGGGAACTAAACACTGGGGGTTCCACGTTTGGCTGACTACTTACCCGGAACATCTGCTCTTGCACCTCTGAGCCCAAGGTCAAGAAAACTAAGATGGGCACAGTAGGCCTTGGCCCTCTATTTGCTGCCGTGCCACTGAGTTAGTAAGTTAATATTTATTAGAGATATTTAAAAAAAAAATTTCAAAACTGGTGAATCCAAAAAAATTGATAAAGAAAAATTAATTCTGAAAACATATGCTCAATGTTATATTTTTTTAGTAACTATTTAAAAAAAAATTTTAAATCCAAGAAAATTAAAAAGTCAAGTATTTCGTAAAAAAAAGAAAATTTTTAATATAACAAATATGATGTGTTTTATTGATAAACAAAATTAAGAATATACCTTAAGAACCTGCGCAACAAGAGTTCCCCCATGATTCTCAGATTCAATATCAACCTAAAAAAGCAAGATTTTTTTTTTAATTTTTAAAAAGGAAGAGTCAAGAAAGAAAATAATTCACAACACTCTGTATAGATATAAAAATTATTATAGAAATAAAACCATATGAGAGAATATGTAATCCCCATGCATCCATAGAGATTTCTAANAAGTGACGTCACTAGAGTGACGTCGGAGGATCGGAGCGGCAAGAGATACTTCAAAGGAGTGAACCAGCCCTTCTATTCTCTTTAGCCCTGCCCTGAAACAGCAAGGAGTACGATGAAAGTAGCTGTGAGGTTTCAAATATAATATTAATCTTTTAATAATTTGTTGCTATTTAGAAGGTAAAAGTAACAAGATTGTTAACCAAAATGTTTTCCATTCTCATGGCATTAAATGAGTTCACAACCTGTTCGAGAAAGATTGAAATCTTTCTTCATTTACTGTTTTTTCATAATTATAAACACATACAGTGTAGAACCCGTTATCCGGAAATCAGAAAACCGGAAAACCAAAAAACCGGAACGAAATTCGATAAATTTTCCTGCCATTTAAAAAAAAAAATTTTTTTTTCCTCATAAGAGTTTAGGATTTTTTTTTCTTTTTTGAAAGATGTTTACCTTACCATCATTTTGGAAAAAATCATTAGTGTATTACCTCATAGTTTTTTCTTCTTTTTAAGATTATTTCCAAAATTATTTTTTTTTAGTCGGGTTTAATTTAACAATAAAAAAAAACGGCTTTTTGTAGCGATTCAAAAAACCGGAAAAATCAGTTATCCGAAATAGCGATGGTCTCGATCGTTCCGGATAATCGGTTCCCTACTGTACATTATATTATATAATGGTAGGGATGCAGAGCCTATAGCCTGCAAGACAAAAATAGCCCACAAAGACTTTTAACTATGTTCCTGAACTGTCTGAATTATTAAAAAAATATATAAAAGTAAAAAGTTATTGATCTAGTTCAGAGTCTTTCTCAAAGTATCAGAATTAACTATTTCATTATGAAAGTTTGATTGATGGAATGGATTCAAAATTTTTAATAAAATGTATTTACTTACAGATTTGCAAAAATAAAAATTAAATAATTTTAAATTTCAAAATTCTAGCTAAAGTCATAACATTAATCTGATACTGTCTAAGTAACAGATTTCAATTTCTAATTAATAGTGAATGTTATTTTCAGGATAAATTTAAGTTACCTTTTTTGTTGTATACCTATAATTTTAATTTAATTTGCTTTGTAATCTAATAAGTATGTTTAATTAAATGCATTAAAATTAATTATTTTTATTATTTGCATGGAAGTAAAAGATTAATTATACATTTGTAACTTATTCATATTTCTTTCAAACAGAATCTAAATATTACCTATATTTTTTATAATTACAGCATTGAGTTATTGTTGGCTGCTAACACTGTATTTTATTGGTTTTGTGGCCCACAGCCCAAAAATGGTTGCACATTCTTGATTATGATTAATACCTTCTAATCAATTACAATGAAAACACTTGACTGGATTTAAATACGAGTTGTGTTAACTATCTTTGCATTCTTACCACTTACTTCAATAGTTTCTATCCCACAATCTTACCAATTATATGTATAGAATGTTATACAGCAGACAAATGTTTTATGACTGGGATGCCATGAGACAATTTAAATCTTCTAAGCTTGGGAAACCCTTCCCTATTTAATAAGTGAAGAATAATGTAGCCTAAAATGTGATTTTATACCAGAGGATTAATGAACCAAGGCATAAACTAATAATCTCAACTCAAGCTCCTCCTCAAAAAAATAAACAAATAAAAAAATTTAACAAAGTTAAAAAAACATATATTTTGTAAAAAAAAGTTCCACCAATAATTGTGTTCCACTGTTTATGAAAGTTGTGATTTGAACTTAAAATCTTACAACTCTAACATGAGTGTTGTTGATGGGAGATCAAGTCATCCCCTCAATATTTAGAAATATTTTTAAAAAATGTCCCTAATATTTCATATAAATATAAAAATTCACCATCAATTTAAACTAAGCTAGGTTAAAAACAAGCCAACAAATGGTAAACATTAATCATTTTGCAAAGATTTAGCAATGGAATTAATCTTTTCAATTTTTTTAAATTTGAGGATTTTTTGAGAACTAGTAAAACCAATTTATTTTAATTCTGCCTCCCTTAAAAATTGGAGACCTGAGACAACCCATGAAGTCTAACAAATTAGAGATTTAGACAGTGATGTGAAGATCTGTAAGGATGTCAAGTACAATCCTTGGTGAGCCTATATAAATAGTTGCACAACCTACAAAAGTGAGCAAAAAATAATAAGAAAAAAAAAAGATATGTATTAATAAAAATCTAAATTACTAACTGTTTAAATAAAATGGAAGTAGAAATGATACTGTTTCAAAATCATATTTTATTATTAATAAAAATATTTTGCTATAGCTAAATATTTACCTTTTATGAAACAGATAAATATTATGGATAAGTGACTAAATGTAACTAAAAACAAGCTTGCATCCTAAAACTGGAAGAAATATAGAAAACTTTTATTGCATTCCTCCACTTATGATACATTTATGAGGGAATGTTGGTACAAGCTTGATATTCTGGGAAGTTTTATTATTGCGATTTGTAATAAAATTTACAAATAATTTTATCATTCATATGAGTTTTCTGTTATTTATAAATTTTAAAAGGTGATGAGAAAATAAATTTACCAAATATTAACATCACAACACAAATAAACTGTGAGGTGTGCTATGTTTTGAGCGTTAGTCCCTATTTGGCTAAATTTGTGTTAAGTATTACTTTGTTATTTATCGGGTAACATTGTAGCATGCTTGTAAAATCTTCCAAAATTTTTGTTCTTCAAAAATTAAACAGATTAAAATAAAGTTAAAATGAAAGAACGTGTTTTATTGTAAACATTACAATTTTAGTAGTATTGGCTGAAGCGCTAAGGCGTTAAAATAAATTGGAAGTAGTAACCTGGAAAATTAATCATGAACCTCTATCACCCCTGGGCCTAGCTTTACATGGTCATTTATACATAAATACAGTAAAAATAAATATAAAATAATATATAACTAGTAAAGTATATACAGGTATACAATAAAAAATATATACCATGCAATTACCAATGAAATTTAATATTCCTATAGGTACAAGTATAAGTAAACAACCCTATATCCCAGTGTATATGTCAATGTTTAAAGTTCCCAAAATTTTATGAAAATCAGGGGTCGACTTACACACAGGTAATAAAGTTAGACGGTTGATCTCGAAATATCAATTCATTATAAACAATGAGATTACATTCCAAACTTTAAAAACTATTTTTAATATGTGATATACAATTATTTTTACAAACAGAGGTTGTTTTTTTTTTAGAAAAAATTCTTTGAATGGTGTTCAATAAAATTCAGAATAAAGAAAGTGAATATAATTTATTCAAGAGCATATAAACAAATATAAATCAGTATATTTCAGAGTATTTCATAAATATTTTCAGCAGTCAACGTATACACCTGATATACAAGAAATTTGCTATCATGTAATTAAAAATAGAGGATTGTCTTATACACCAGGAATATACAGTATTTTCATTTAGTTATTTCAAATTACTTAAATAAAATTATACAAATTAGGGATTGAATAAGTGGACAAATTTATTGAATGAAAATATAAATCGTAAAATTAAAGAAAATAATTTATACCAATAGTTTCTTGAAACAAAATAAAATATAAACAAAAATTTTTTTTAAACAATAACAAAATTTTTTTTAAAAATTGCCACCAATAATGTAAACAAATAATGTAAAATAAAAACCACAGTAGATGTTACTTGAAAACTTATTAATTTTCATTTTCATACTATTAAGCTTTTACTTAGAGGGAGGGCGAGGATAGTAGATATCATAAAATAATCATTTAGAAATCATAAAATAATCATAATTGCTTACACGAAGTTAACATAATTTTTTTAAAAATTTTTGTACCTTTAAAAGAATTGAAATTAAAAATTTAATTTTATAACAATATATATTTAATCAGTTATCACACTTCGAATAGCCAATAAAAATAATTCATGATGCTTCGATGGATTTTATATTAAAACTTATTAAAACATTATCGCACAATAGAAAACAGGAAAAAATTATCAAAAAGAACCTTAAAATATTGCCTATTTTGAAAGTTTCTTAAAACAGATAGTTGCGAGTTTCGTAACAATCTGCATCTAGAAAATAAAAGATGCATCGTGCTCGAAGATTAAATCAAAACAAATTCAAAACACACGAATCTTATCAACAGGTGTAAAAAAAAAAAAAAAAAAACATTTTAGAGTACGGTACTAATGATTACGCAACAGTTCACGTAATTTAGGAACTTTTTTTTATATTTGTTTTGCAAAATTAGTTTCCTACCTCTGGCGCTGTCAAAATAGTCCACAAGTCATATTTGATTCCAAACAAAATAAAAGCAGTTGTCAATATGACAAGAAGAGAAAGACCTATTTCTAAGACAAAATCGTAGCAACACATATTTATGAATGAAAAATTCTCAATCGAAAGTTAATAAAAAAAAAGAACTATAAAAGTATCATCTAAAAACGCCTTTAGAGCTTATCAAGAAGATCTAGTAGCATTGTTCCTGTTTCGAAATTTTCTTTTTTAGTTTTATTCACGATTAATTAACTAAAGATTAATGTTTTGATAATAAAACATAAATAAATTTTATTAAATCACAGTAAGTTAAATCTTTTAAAGTAAACAAAAAATTTTCCTAATTAACATCCAGAAAATGCTAGTGTCGCCATCTTTGTGTACACATCGTAATGATCACTAGAATTACTTTGAAAGATTCGTTTTTACTTGCTATTATGCTATTATTCAATAAAAATAAAATGAAAACAAAATACATTGAAGCTAGAGTATTGAATTTTTATCTCTTTTTGACTCTTGTATGTAATGATTGAGTGAGGATCCACATTTCTGTTATTAATGAATGCAGATATAGCGTATATCGTATGTCATTGAAAACCGGAACAAAACGAAAATTTCCAAAACGTGCAACAAAAGAAAAAAAAAGAGACCACCGCAGTTTACGAAATGCAATTGTATGCTTAAAACTTTTGACTCTCGGATTTCGAATAATTATGGAATTACAGTAAATTATATTTAGCACTTCTAAACTAAAACATAAAACTAATTTCAATGCTAAACTAACACTTAAAACGAAAAATCAAGAGTGTTATTTTCTTCAGATAATAAAAATAAGGAAATCAGAAACCAGAGTAAGTAATCAATATTGATTCACCAGGGCGTATTATCATGAAACGAATTTTAATAAAAATTATCATGATTTATTTTATTTTTTATTTATTTTATTTTTTGTTTATTTATTTAGCTANAATTATATTTAGCACTTCTAAACTAAAACATAAAACTAATTTCAATGCTTAACTAACACTTAAAACGAAAAATCAAGAGTGTTATTTTCTTCAGATAATAAAAATAAGGAAATCAGAAACCAGAGTAAGTAATCAATATTGATTCACCAGGGCATATTATCATGAAACGAATTTTAATAAAAATTATCATGATTTATTTTATTTTTTATTTATTTCCTTTTTTGTTTATTTATTTTGCACTGTTTATTATCTATCCATATAGTTATTTGTGTAATATGCATACTAAATTTCCCTACTGAGAATCTTTTTCCATTTTAAACATAACGAGAAGTTAGTTTGTTGTGAGAGAAAGCAACTGGATTTTAGTTCAAACTCACATTCGGCCAAGGTCACTTACAGGATTAAAATTATACATATTGCTTGATATTTATTTATATTTTTTAGAAACTTTTAATATCACATTTATAAATAAATAATTTATCCTTCTAAATTATCTAATAATTACTTTTGAAAATGATTTCATTAATTTAAATATAAACTAAAATCGGTTGATGGTGATGGGATCGTGGATAAACAAGATGTTGAATTTTTTTTCCAAAGTGTTTTAAATAATGCGTGTATAATTCTAGTTTTTATTTATTTATTTATTTTTTTAAATAATAAACCGTGAATTAAGCAATATTAATAAACTGAAACATATATTGTATTTTATTGGCACATGCATTAACAAAAATTTTTGTCTGATTTATTTATTTCTTTTCATTCAACAAAATATCTCTCACCTTTCAATAATTTTACTCTTTTCACCCCATTCTGCAATTTCTTCTTAAGTAATCCTACAGTTTATTTTACATTTATTTTTGTAAATGCTTTTTAGATCTTTTTCGGTGTTCGTCTTTCCTAAATGCGCCAGAAATGGAGCATTTAGGATAATTTAGGAAGTTTAAAAAAACAATTACGCCTTTACGAAATAATTATAGGCAAATGAGAACATCAAAGCTGATAAGCGAAATGGGTAAAATATAAATACACTAAAAAATAAAATAAATAAAAAATAACAACAAAAAAAATAATAAATTAATTAACGGATATTTTATACGATCATTTTAAAACTGAACCGAGTTTTTCCAAGAATTGTAATTTTTACAAATTTTAATAAACAACTTTTAATGAATAATTTAAGACATAAAAGCAGATTTTAATAAATAATTTAATTTATTTGATGAGCTTGGTGCAAGGACAAAGCAAATTTAGGTAATATTTAAGGAAGCAAAAACAAAAAAGTTGTCACCATCTGTCGTTTCACTATTGAAGAAGGCGGTATTTTAAACATCAAAAGCAGTTGGATTGCCTGATGCAATTTGAAGGAGTTTTTTTATAATCACATTTTGTTTACTCCTCGTCCCCCCCCCCAAAAAAAAAATCAAACAGGTTTTCATGTTTTTATTCTCGCTTTTCTCGACAATTGACCATTTTGAAACAATAATTTGCGGCCCCTAATTTGTATATTCTTTTTTTTATTCATTTTTAACAAGTATTTTAAAAGTACTTTTTAAAGACGGTGATTGAGGAGCAACCTACATAAATTACCGAAATGCAGAAATTCTGAAAATTAAAATGATAATGGATAACTTTTTTTTTCCTTCTTAAAGAAAACAACTCAAAAATGATTGTTTAGTAATTTTCTAACCAAATTTTTGAATCGATAGAAACATGCATAAATTTTCCAAGTATTATTTTACTCGTTAATACTTTGTTTAATATAGTTAATAAAAAAAAATTGAAACTAATGCGAATGTTATAGATGGGGTAAAATTGCTCCATGATGAAATCTTTTATTATTATTATGACCGTATATATCAGAACGATACATTTGTGACAAGGGATGCCTTCTTTTGGGCATTCGAGATATAACGACCTATTTTCGATTTATATAATGAAATTTTAAATCATATATGAACTAAAAATGGATCATATATGGACTAAAAATGGATATGGAGGTTTTATTTATTTTTTTTTTTTCAGTTGAAAAAAGTAATATTTTAATATATTTTTCACTCCAGTTTTTTATTATTATTAATTGTTTCACACACTTTATAGTTTTAGATGAGTTATTCAGCACAGTAAGTCTTTTTCGTTGAAATTTTTTTTTTTTTTTTTTTTTTTTTAAATGGACTAAAAATGGATATGGAGGTTTTATTTTTTTTTTTTTCACAGTTGAAAAAAGTATATTTTTCACAAAAAGATTATCTTTGTCATTTTCATAAAAAACAAAGATTTATTTCAAAAATCTAAAAATAAAATGAACTGAGTATTAAGTTGCTTAACCGAAAATGTTAATAGCACTACCATAATTGATCCCAAAACTTTAAAACATTTTGTAAAAAGAATTCGCTGAGGATCTATTGTCAGCATTGTATTGTCAAAAATTTAAACAACCTACTACAAACGCTAGTCATTAATTATATGTTACTGTATTAGTTTTTATGTAATATTTTATATTATGTTATTATATTATATTATGTTATTATATTATGAATTTATTTAAGCTTTAAATAATCTTTACTTTCCCCATTTTGAATTTTAAGCCATTCGTGCAATAAATCATTATAAAAAATAACAGGATCACAGTTTATGGTTATCAAAAATTGATCGCTGAAGGAACAACGAGTTTTAAATATCGAGAAATAATTTAAGCAATTTTAAATCTTCTCCGGTTGTGTTATTTCCCACTTTGGTGGACAGAATGGACCAGCCTTGTCCAGGAACCACCATAGAATCTTTTTTCTTTAGTTTTTTCTTTCTAACTCAAACGTTTATGCTAACAAATCCATAACCACCTTTGCATTAAAGAAGGAAATTAAGTGAGGTATTAACGAAATTTAGTTCTATATATGCAAAACGGTTGTTGAAACTTTCGACAAAATTTTGGAATCCGTTTCCCCGAAAGGCAATTCCATACATAAACTCTATATTGTAGTACAACTTATGAATGAAGAAATTTAAAAAAATCCCGATTTTTAATTAAAAACCCGTGATTTCTATTAAAACTCCTTTTTTGAGTTAATTTAGAAACGCCCTGTACATATATTCCAAAATAATTCAAAGCCTTCAGACAAGACTTGTCTTAAAAGTTCTGTACCATATTCTTCATCTGCAGATATATTAATTTTTATATATTCTTCATCTACAGACATATGTATTTGTGCTTGTATGATAATAAGAGTATAAATTTAATAAAAATTAAGTTGTATTGTTTCAAGTGCTTTTTCCAGAAAGTCCAGAGAGAAACATGAGACATTTTTAAAAATCTTATAAGGGGATTGTAAGTTTGAATCTTTACAATTTAAATTGAGTAGATCTTAAATGAAATTTAAAGTTCAAAGCATGTAATTTACAACAATACTAAACAACGAGAGTACAATGAAAAGCCTACAAACTGTGCAATCCATTTCAACTTCTAACATTCGGATTACCACTTCTGCCTACAAGATTCCTGTAGGCAGATGTGGTAGTCTAAATGTTAACAGCTAAAACAGCTAATGAACAGCTTAAGTTACAACCTTGGGCCTATTAATGAAATCGACAGTAAACTTTTGCATAATTTTTCCCTAAGAAAAGAAAAGGCTTTTGGAGGGGGAGTGTTTTTTCGCACAAAAGCGTTTAGGACTACTAGTTCCTTTTAAAGGGAACTATTCATTATGCAGCGACCAGCATAAAAAATATTAGGCCAGAATTAAACAAAATGTTTTCATCAAAAGATGGACTTATAATTTATTCATAGTTTATAATTATAATTAGATTATAATACTTAGATAATAATTCATAGATCATATTAACTTATAATTTATTCATAGATTTAAGAATGGTATAATAATGAAGAATATGTCGAAAACTATAAAAACCCGTTTGAATCTATGACAAAACGAGTGAAACTGGTATGATAATAGAAGGGGGAATATTAAATACTAGTAAAAAACAAACTGTACTAACATATTCCCAGTAAACTGCTTTCTAAAATACATGCTAGATTCAATTAAGCCCGTTGTAGCTTAACTTAGTAGTCCCACATAAGAGAAAGCTTATTTCCATCTTTTACCCAATTTATGGCATAGGGGCTATTTATAAAATAATGGTGTCACCTTTCTTTTTCAATATTTTAGACACTTCTCTTCCCTTTTGTCACAGTGTCACACTTCACTATACCCCCTTGCACACACGTCACGCTAGATTGTATAAAGATATACCAGCAGTTCAGAAACAAAATACATTTCTAAATAATATATCAAATGTATATATAGATATTTTTCAAACTTTTAACTTTATGTTTTAATGTCATTTGT